TTCGCCGCTGTCGGGGCAGTCACAAACCCCGTCGGGGTATTCCGAGCTCGTCCGTGAATGATGTCACTTCGTGGACGCACAACTCAATGAACCGCAAACAGATCTCGACTGCTCTGAAATGAGTCCTGCTCGTTTTCCACCCCTGTGTCGTGTCACCTGACGTTTGGGCTGATTTGGTTCAACGTCCCGGTGTCGGTAAAGGACGAGTCGGACCTCGTCTCGTCTCGCTGGAGTTTTCGTAGCGTTTTCCCCCAGTGGTTTTGTGTAATTACGTGGCTCTTCTTAGGGAAATGTATCCAAAACTTTTCCCCAGATGCCATCGTGTGTACCCCTGCCAGCACTCTGTTACATTTGCCCTGCTTTAAAGCTAGATTGGAAATATCATGGCAACCTTCCATGATATTTTTTTTTTTTTTTTTTTTTTTGAAAATTCTCTCTAACATCCACTGCCCAATTTTAACCGCATTCACTGTTTTGTTCCACATTTTATCATAACTTACTCTCAAAAATCAATAATTTCATTGAGATTTCACATGATATGCTATGCTAGCAGAAAGTTAACAGTAAGGGAACCGAAAACAGAATTTTCAAAATTGTTTGAGAATCAAAATCTACAAAATGTGGCATATGTTTTCACTTGGTCCAAAATAAAATGGGATATGAACGAAAAAAAAAAAAGCAATTTGCTATTAGCCTCGTAGGATACACAGTAAACAAGAGCAGACGTTTTTGCACATACAGCATCTGGAAAAAAGATATAATGATCAGTTTCTCTCATTTTACTTTTTATAGATATGTTTGAATAAAATGAATATTGTTCTTTTATTCTATGAGCTGCTGACATGTCTCCGAAATTCCAAGCAAAAACTTGGTATTTATTTGGAAAAAATGAGAAATGATCGAATAACAAAAAAAAGATGCAGTGCTTTCAGACCTCAAAAAATGCAAAGAAAACAAGTTCACATTCATTTAACACGGGAAGAGTTCAGAAATCAATATTTGGTGGAATAACCATCGGGTTTTCAGTGCAGTGGCTCTTTTTTTTTTTTCTAGAGCTGTAACATGATGCTTAACACCGGCAACCTCTGCTGGTGCTTTTCCCCCCCGTTGGGACAGAGACGCTGCTCAAATTTAGTGGAAAACGGGACCATGGTCCTAAACAGAAAGTCAGAGCAACATTGTTAAGATCAAAGCATGTTAACATGATCAATCTAATTTATAATCGGTAGCAGTAATTCAGTGGTAAAGTGGTATGAACATTTTGCAAGGTGATGCTTGTGTGTGCTTGAATCAGTGGAAGTCAACCTACTCCCACATCTAAAGAGTCCACTTTATTCCACATTCCGTGTCGTAAAATGTTCATTCATAAAAATGAGCGCGGAAATAAAAGCTGACAGGAGGCACGATGCACGGTGCCCTGACTGCAAAGATTTCTGGAGCTTTCACCCAGAGTTAGTCAGTCTCATCAGCAGATTGTCTGCACCTATCACATAATCAATCAGTAATGGCTGGGATTATAAATGGCAGCTTGTTAGCGATTCACAAATCCTTAAAGCACGGTGCTAAAAAGCAGCATATATTTGGAGCTTTGTTTATGGCCACCTTTTCATGGAACACCAGTTAAAAGCTAAAGTTAATAAAACCTGAAATGTACCGAAGTGTTTGATGGAACTGGAGAAACTGGTGCTTTAATGAGTTTATTTCCTGGATCATTTCATCAAAAGAAAAAGAAGAAAAAAAAGAAAACGAAATGAAAAACTGATCCATCATAATATTTCCAAACAATAATCTAAAGATATAAACTGTGTGTTGTTGAAAAAAGATTCTTGCATCTTTAATTTATCGTGCCTGAGACCATAAATGTACGTATAAAAACAGGCAGTTAGTCCATAAATGTAGGGTGACCTGCAATGCCCTCTACAGGTTTTGGCAATGATGTGAACTATTTAAAAGATGAATATATTTTCTGATGGAAGCAAGCATAGTGTCACACTAATCCATTTACAGTGGCCATATGTTCAAGATGCCCTTGCCGTCTTCTTTCCTTTTTCTCTTTTTCTTATCAACTTATATTTTTTTTCTACACGTGAATTTCTGGGTTGGGTATCTTGACAGATGAAAGCTGCCAAGTTGGCATGTGCGACTAAATCATTCGTAATAAATGTATATGTGCTGCATTTCAATAAAACACAACATTGTTGAATGCTGAGGTATTGAAAAGTCTTTATTTTATTTAAACTGTTTGGGTTGAAATCTATGGCAGGATTGTTGTAATTAGATTGCTTGTATACTTCATGGAGATTTTCGTAAATGATCCTGTACATAAAAGCAGATTTTCTCGCTTTGTACGACGGCGCAAAAACCAGGAAGTGAACTTCATATAAGGCAAAACGAGCAAAACTGCGATGACTCATATCAATATCCAAACGATTTTCCTCAAATAGACCCCGCCGCTTTTCTTTCTTCCTCTCTGCTACCGGCAACATCACTGATGAGCTGACCAGACTGCACTTCTCGCTCTGCTGCGTTCCCAATCATTAAATACCAAGGGGAGCCGTAATGGCCTACTTCATAAATATGTTGAGTTCCACGGTACCAAAACTCCAAAGTTGATCTAGCATTACTGGTCGGGTAGCATTAGCGCACTTTGTGGAGAATCGGGGCTGCACGGCGACACCAAATGAAAATTGTCAGTTTTGTTCGTAGAATCAATAACTCCAGTTTTCTCCACCAGATTAACATATAATAGGATGCCGTGTGAGCGCATCAAGGCAATCTTTTCACAATCTCCCACTGCTGCAGCACTACTTTGTGTGAATTACAGTAAAAATCTGGAGTCATGCACACAGATAGGCCCCAAGCTGTTAGCTTGTGTTTTTAGTTGCAAAGGCTTCAGCAAGAAAAAGGGAGAGAGGAGGAGAAGGAGCAGCAGAGAGGAAGAAGGGAGGCAAAAAGGAAGTCCTTTCAGGGGGCGGGGGGGAAGCCTTGCAGTTTGCCACAAGGATCGCTCCTTAACTCATTAAAAATGGGAAATAATAAGCCACAAAAAGAAAGGAAGTATGATCAAGAAAGGAAAAAGTTTAGTGAAACTTTATATTCTTCATTTTTTTACAGTTTAATTTGGCACATGGCACAATCAGCATGTATGCATCTGGTATACATAAATAAATATTAAATATTTTATACATAAATATACATATAGAGCTCTTACAAAGACACCTTGAATGTTTTTGGGCTTGGCATGTTTCAAATGGCAACAACTTTACATGGGAGTTCTTTACGCCGAGCCGTTTCCGTCTGAACTGTCATTTTAGTCGTTTCGTAAACGGGGAAGAGGGGGGAGGTGATATCTCCATAGAAGCCCTATACATATATGTATGTATGCCCATATTTATATATATATTCAAAGAAATACAAGTGTGCACTGATGCAGGTTTAGTCAGTGCAAACAGGCCTCTGTCTGCCGCTGAAGAGGAACTCTTACAAAGTCGATGGAATCATGTCTGTTAGTTCAGTTGATTCTTTAGCAATTTTTTTTTCTCTCTTAGACATAAAATAATATATTTATTTTTGTATTCATTAAGCAAAAAAATTAGACATATAGAACTTTTAAAACAACAAAAGTGCTATGTTGCGAAGACAGACACCCAGAGATGCAGCAGAAAACTCTACTGGTGTTGAACCAAAATCGGCAACGTGAGAAAGTACTCGTTTCCTACACTTCCCAGAATCCCCCCGCTCCCTCCCCACACCTATAGTAAGATGCAAAACAAACAGAAAGGTTAAATAAAACTGGTGCACGAACACACACTCTGTCTCTCTCTCTCTCTCTCTCTCACATACACGCACGTATACAAACACACACACCCTAAGAACTCTTGCATTTGCAAGTTAGAACATCGTTTCTCTTTCTTTATCACAACCTGATAATCACTCTTACACGCTGCAAATACAAAATCATTTTCACATGCATTTCAAACACACACCACACACAGCAGCATTTGCACGTGCACCACCTTGTGACCATAAAATTAGATAGCTCAACAGATAAAATTGGCTGTAAAAGATGCACTTTTTTTTTTCTTCTTTAAAACAATCACAGTAACGTAGTATTCATCTCCGCCTTCTCATGTCTTGGCAAGAAACAGTCTCACACAAATCATTTCTAGTTTAAAAAAAAAAAAAAAAGGATAACACTGTCTGTGTGGCTGTTGTGTTGGTATGCACCAGAGAAGTAAACAAAAAAATAACCACAACAACAATGGAAAAAAAAAAGAAAAAAAAAAGAGTCACCCAAAATGGGTTTTTAAAATCTCTACATCTGCATATCCTCTAGATTCCCATCCCGGATTCAGAGTCTCTCATCTCTGAGTCTTATCTTGCTTTTGTAACACGACTCCGCGCTGAATTGTCTCAGGGAGGAGAAATAATGACAGAAAGAAAGAGCTCAGTAAGGCATTGAAACGTAAAAAGAAAACAAAGAAGCAATTAAAAATATTCGCAAATATTGATGCGGAGGCCGTCATTCTAGATGTCTCCCGCAGGAGGAAGGGATGGGGAAATAAAAAGCACTTCTCTTTGATTTTTTTTTCGTTTGTTCTTCTGAATTCAGGAAAAAAAGTGTTGATATCTCCTCAGTCTGCTTAAAAAGGCTTTTAAAATGATTAATTTTAGAAAAAAAAAAACACTGCAGAAAGACCACCTCCTCCTCTTTCTGGAGAAGGAAAGCAGTTTGATTTTGGCAGCTCTGCACAACTTGACATCCACAGAGAGCTCTCGGCTGCTCTCGTCATAGTAAAAGTCTAGTTAAATTTCTGCACGTTTTAATCCCACTCCTGCCCTTCCCCGCCCCCACGCAGCCCTTCCCCTGCCTGTGATATTTATAAAACACAATCCTCTCCTCAGTTCGTTCATCCTCCTGCTCCTCCTCCGCCAACCCGCCACCACTTCCTTCTCTCCCGCCTGCGCCGGCCGCCCCCCGCCTGGCCTCCTCCTTAAAGCTATACGCGGGTGGTAGAGTGGGAGTGCGGCAGGCCGGTGGAGTTGAAGCCAGTTGTGAAGGTGTTGTACGGGTGGAGGTTGGGCATGCCCACCAGGGAGTTGGGAATCATGGTGATGGTGTTGGGCGTCATGAGCGGGATGTCGTCCGGGGAGCGGCGCAGCGTGAGCGTGTAGTCGGGCAACGAGGCCAGGCGCAGCGCCCCTTCGTTGCTGTTCCCCGCCTCGCACTCGTGGTGCGTCTGGTTCATCTGCAAGGACATGATCTCCTCCTCGGGCGCGTGGTGACCGATGTCGTTGGCGGTGGTCTGGCGCTGCGGGCTGGGCTGCCCGTGGCCGGAGTCCTGCCGCCGCTTGTCCTTGCGGTAATAGAGGGCCGCGAAAGCCAGGACGTTGAGGAACAGCAGCGAGGCTCCCACCGCGATGGTGACGCTGAGCTCCGTGGAGTAGTCCCTCGGGTTGTCGACCACAAGAGGCCCCGTCTCCTCGTCCTCGCTCCAAGAGTCCTTATCCTCGCTGTTGTAGGCGGGCGACATGGGGGGGCGCTTGGTATTGAAGGGCCAGTTCTTCCCGTTGGGCCTCTTGGTGGACACGCTTTTCGGTGTGGTCTCCGGCGGTGGCACTTTGGTGGTGGTAGAGGTGTAGTGGAACAGTTCATGGAGGTTGTAGAGATGGGGCACTAAGTGTTTCCAGAAGGCCACTTTGGTGGCCCGGTAGTGGTCACGCACGCGCGGCTTCAGGCCGATGTGCAGATAGAGCTGGTCCTGGGGATTGTACTTGGACCAGGCCACCTCTTCGAAGCGGTTAGCCTTGGTGTGGATGAACTTGGTGTCTTGGGGAACTGGTTTGTTGGGGTCCCTGGAGACAAGAAAGAGATGAAGCACACAGAAAAATGAGATTCTGACAGTGGATTTAATTCGTAATGATATTCAGGGCTGGAGGAACGAAATGCAAACAATCATTCTTAAAACGTATCACTGTGAGTCAGAGCCTATATTTTGACAAATCTGCCATAATTGTGGCAACAAGTGGAGAACCTTCTAAACCAAAAAGCGAAAACCCCGCTTTCTAACCAAATGCAGTTAAAATCTCGTCCAGGTGTTTTTGCTGCAGGAGGAACTGACACCAATATCATCTCCAAACCTTCTCCCCTCCTCTCTCCCTTTCCTTTCAGCTACCTCTTTGCAGACCTATTATGCCTGCATGTCTCATCTCCCATCTCTTTTTCCTCCCAGATGTTGATCTTATTTCAATTCTGAGGCAGCCCAGCCTTTAAAAGCAGGCCAGAGGCTTTTAAAAGTAAATGCATATGAATAAGTCAGCAGGCTTTAGGGCGCGCGTCAGGAGGCATTTTGTTGTGGATAATCCAATGCTGGTGGAGCCTCTCTGCTAATTGCTCGCGGAAGGCATTGCAGTGTATACTGGCATCCAGTGCACTGATGTAAGGTAGACCATATTAATCAAGACACTAAAGGGAAGTGTGCAGTCATGCTTGTGTGTGTGTGTGTTTGTGTGGATAGTTCTAGAGGAGGATGCAGTACTTCATTTGATCCACAGGGTTCACTGTTCCGCCTCTCACTTTTCAACATGTTGCGTCAAACAGCAAACTACTTCAATTACAGTGAAGCTATTGATTTATCGACTGAATTAACATATAGCAAACTCCAACAATCACACAGCTCTTTGTTGGCGTACAATGTCAGGATTGGGACCTCGGCGCTGCTGTATATTGCTTTTGCTGTGGATTAAATTGCTTTCCGTGGAGGAGCGTGAATCAGAGCTGAATGGCCTTGAAAAACACAATACCCGGCTGCTTGAGGAATGAAAAGCAAGAATCTGTCCCCCCCCCCTTTTTTTTTTTTAAATGTTATGAAATATTCCTTAGTGGGTTGGAGTGCAACGTTGATGGTAACCAAAGTTAAAATTTAGTTAGGGATTTTGGGATATGGTTACTTTGTTCCTCTTTTTTTTTTTTTTATGTGGATCAGGTTGGGAAAACCTCCAAACACAGCTAAGAGAATTAAAAGACAAGCCCGGAGAATTCACCCTCCGTCCTCTCCTCCTCCTGTTTGTTTCTCTGCTGTCAATTTTTATTTTTCAGGTCAGTGCTTCTGGGAGAGGGAGAGAAAGAGAGAGAGAGAGAGGCAAAGCAAATTGAGATGGCTGGAGCTGGATTCCTGGACCTGGGCTGGTGTCAGCAGAGCAGCCCGTAAATAACCTCTTTTATTAGGACCGTAATGATCCCCAATGAATATTGACAGCCAGACTATGATGACTTTGTAGCTGAATATCAGTAATTAAGTTTCAAAGGAGCGTGCGGTGGAGGTAAGGTCATATTGATCTCCCTAAGCGCAACATGCCAGGGAACAGGATGTCAATGGAGCAGCTTGAGATGAGGTTGTCTGCAGCCTGAGCGCCTCATGAATTCTTACATCAGTGGCGCTTCCCTCCCCCTCCTACTCGCACACAAATACAACATCGGTAATGGAGGTCAGAGCTGCCGCCATTGATGGGATTTTCTGTACTTTCCATAACGTGGCAAACCCGTTTTCGCCCAGAGAGTTAAATTAGCTGGTTTGTTAAATAAAATATGAAAATTTCTTGCAAAAGGTACTTGGAGAGATTTCGCAATACAATCATTGAATGCGGGCAGCGAGCGTGTAGTGGTGCAGTGGAGTTAAAAAAGCTCTCTGGTGGCTGGCTGACTGGTTCACTGCAAGTGAAGATGAATAATTTAGGCAACACAAAGAAATCAATGTGGCATCTTTAGTTAATTTGATTTGCCGCATTAGAGAACAACTGGCTGCCTTATCTAATTACACACACATATGCTTGGGTAATTGTTGCAATGTCAATAGCAAACAGGGTACATTCCTTTAAATGCTTTCTCCAATTGCTGCTCAATGTGGGGGGTTTGAGGTCCTGTCTGAATTTTGGGCTTTACGACTGACTGCTTTGAGACCGCTGCGGTTACCCGGCTCTGTCTGGATGTGGGCTTACAGCGATGTGGTCAGATTTGTTCGAATTTTACACAAACATTAGGTCTGAAGTTCCTTAATACACACAGAGAGAGAGAGAGAGAGAGAGAGAGAGAGAGAGAGAAGAGGTGATTATATACAAAAAACCCTCAACAGAATTCATAGTTTCCACATTTTGTCACTTTATAGCAATAAATGTATGTTTTTATTTTTAATATTTTTGATAGACCAACACATATCTGTGAATAAATGTAATTTGCAAGTAAACGATACATGATTTAGAATTTTTAAAAACTAAAAATCAAAGTGTGGATTGCATTTACAGTGAACTCTCTTTATTCTGACACCTCAAATCCAGTGCAATCACAACGCAGTTGGTTAGAAAGAAAGGGACAACTGCAAACCTCCCAAAACACGGCCATTTATCTGAACTAGTAGGCCAGGCAAGCTGATCAGAGAAGCAGCCAAACGACTTATGGTGACACTGGAGGAGCTGCAAACATCCACAGCTTATGTGGGAGAATCTTTTGTTAGGACAACTACGAGTCAATCAGTTTACAGTTTGCAAAATGGAAAAGAGAAGCTGAGGCAAAAGTCACGTCTTAAAACAAAGTAATAAGAAATCCAGTTTGCAGTTTGCCACAGACCATGCAGGGGACACAACGAACACGTGGAAGAAGATGTTATGGCCAACTTGGAGCAAATCCTGTTTCTGCCTACATGCAAAACTCTGTGTATGGTGGAAACTAACACAGCAAATCATTGTAAAACACGTCATCCCCACTGAGAATCATGGGCAGGAGAAAGTCATGAAATATGGTGAGAGGTTTTGGGAAGATGGATGGAGCTAAATATAGAGCAACACTGGTAGAAAGACTGCCAGAGCCTTTACACTGGAGTGGATATTCACCTTCCACCAGGAAAACCTAAACATACTTCCAATGGAATAGTTTTGAGTTAAAGCATATTTATGTGTTAAAATGGCCCGGTTAGTTTACAGTTAGTTATCAGTAAGCAATATGTAACTTAGACATATTTTTTTTAAAAAACCCTGCAATTGTATTTGCAGTAAAAGGTGCAAAGAAGTGACTCAGGAGTCAATTCTTTGCACAGACAAACAGAACATTTTCCAGATTTAGATTTGTAAAAATGTTAAAGCGTGTTGGTTTATCACCTTAAATCTCTATGAAATCCTTAGTTGTAAAGTCACAAAACGTGAAAAGGTTCCATGGCATGAAAACGTCTGCAGCTTCTCACTCTGTTCCACCATAACGAGGTAACCGACAGCCTAATATTGTGCAAGTCTTCAATTTATCTCTGAGCTGACTTGGGTATCGCCTGCTGTGGGATGCATTGTGACATCTTGACACAAGGCAGATGTTAGCAGATGCTTTCACTGATGAGGTTTACGCCACAGATTCTTCTTCTAGTCCCATGAGTTTTTTTTTTTTTAGAGATTTTTTATTTATTTTTTTTAAATTCACAGCCAAATTAATTTAATGTGATTAGGGAAATAGTGTGTACAAAAGTGCCAACTAAGTTTTTAATTAGCATGTAAGGACGCAACACTTTATATAATACCTGTTACATAATGCAGAGCACTGGCCTTTTTTGTGGTCACTTTTTCATTAGTGTGGTTTCATCTAAAACAGATTCAATAAATGATGACAAAAAATCTATAGAGGCAGGTGCAATAAATAATAAATACAAAAAAAAAAAAATTAAATCAAACACTAACCGTTTTGTCAAAAGGCTAAATTTCTAGATTTAATAAGAGAAGAGTATTACACATCTGGGATCTTATTTTGAACCACAGGCATAAAAAGTGATTTGAAAAAATCTGAAAATGGTAAAAACGTCCTGAATCACACCAGGTTTGGTTCATTCATCTCATCAGCATGAATCGCTTCACCAGGACCATGCGGTCGTCACATCTCTTAGCTTCCAAACGCAACGGTAAACATGAGATAAAACTCTTAAAAAAAAACCAAACAAACAAACAAACAAAAAAAAAAACCCGTCAGTGCACATGGTGTTAAGCTCCGGAGAAAACAGTTGCTTTGACTGCGACATGAAGTGATGTCTGCAGTCCTGTTGGGCTTTGAGAGCTTCCTGGCATTAGCTGACAGCATGCTTCTGGTTAGACCTCCCGCCTAATCTGGATGCTCAGCTGGACTCTCTGGCAGAGGACAGGGATTATTACACCCATAAAAGCAAGCGATTTAATAGCCTCTTAGACTTCCTGTCATGTGTTCATATGGCGATGGGTGCTGTTAAACCTCAAACCCCGCTTTCCCTTCAAACATTGCTGACCTGCTGACCCCTGTCCGACCTTGGCCGGCCATGTCTGTGTAAGTCCCACCATGTGTTTGCATCTGTGATTGACGGGGCCGTTTTTCAATGCGTGCGCCTGCCGGTGTGTGTTTGCACCGTTGTCTCGCCACGCAATGATATATTGACCTCTTCAAAAGTCCAGAACTTGAACTCAGGACGTCGGGTTTCAGTTTTACACACCGGCTGCTGATGAATTGCAGCTCTCCAAGCTGATATGAGAAAAAAAAACAAAAACGTTTTGTAGTGTAAGGATTAAACCGCTTTTCTATAAGACGCCACACCTCATGGATGACAGACACGACTCTTGGCTTTACCTACAGAGGACGTGGCGGATGGGACTTGAGCTCATTACCTATTCTAAGCCCTATCTGCAAGCACTGATGTAAAAGGTAGATAAGGGGGAAGAATGAATATCATTTTCTTTCTTTTTTCATTTCCCATGTACCTCCTTCCCCTTTTCATCCTGATGTAATTTGAAGCGCTTCAATGATCATAGACCTAGCCATCACCAAATCTGAAAAGACACGTTTAGGTGCCCTGAGGCTG